CCCCCCGACATAAAAATCTCGCATTGATTGATCGGCCTCGGGTGGCTGTGGAAAAGAGAGAAGTATGGAGCAAGAAAACTGTTGAGACGAAGAAAGCTGAGGGGAAGGAGCCGAGGGTTAGGGCCAGAGGTAAAAGAGGACGGCAGGTACTGGGGATATTGTGGAGTGAGAATGCGAAGAGACGTAGAAATAGAGAATGAAAAAGAAAGGTAGAGTAAAAAAAGAAATGAGAGAAAAGAAAAGCAGTGAAGGCTGAAGGAAAGGATCGAGGGGATCATGGAGGTTGGCACCGGCTCACAGCGTATATGGAGTGAAAAATTGCTGGCACCGACTACCATCGCAGGAAGACTCAAAGCTTCTTAAAATGTCCGTATAATGCCGATACTATACTATTGAATCCCTATCGAAATCTTCATTGATATCTGGGTTTATTTCAGGGAGAAGTCATGCCAATTAATTGCGAATTATGCGGCATTGGGGTTTTGTACTGGGCTTGCGACGTATCTACTTTGAGATTATTGTATGAGAAAGGAGAGAAAGCGCTGAAAATTTCCGGGCCTGTTTTTTGCCGTTGGGACAGGCTTTACGACATCTATTATCGTTGATTGTTAGTTGTAATTGAGTTAAAATGAGGTACATCGGCTACGGCGCCATCGGGCGGTGGCGTCCTTGTACCATTTTCATAACCTGCCTGATTTACAGCTGATGATCAACGGAGAGTGAATATTTTTTGAATATAGAACTGGAGACGAGTAAATTATAATTAGTTAATCAATATATCGCTCAATAGAATTATCAATTATTTATGGAGAATGCGGTATTGGGCTTTCGCATTCACTTTTTACCCATCGCATTCAATTAAATTCTTAATATGCATGGTGAATAAAGTATATAAAGCAGCACTAGAAATTTCTGGGGCAATTTTTTTTGTCGTTGAGACAGGTTTTATAACTTTTATTATCAATAATTATGAATTTTAATTGAGTTGGAGTGAAATCAATTTGTTTAATAAAGCAAAGAAAGGAGTAACCAGTTAAAGTGATCCCAATGTTGTTATAGTTGGAAGGGCATTCAGAGGTTACGATCGGCCATGGCGCCACCTGACGGCGGCGTCCCTGTACCATTTTTGTAACCTGCTTGATTTACACCTGATGATCAACGAAGAGCGAAGGAGACGAGTAAATTATACCTAGATTAATCAACATATCGCTGAATAGAATTATCAATTATTTGTGCGGAATGCGATATTGGGCTTTCGCATTGGCTTTTTACGCATCTCATTCAATTAAATTCTTAATATGCATGGCGAATAAAGGAAATAAAGCAACACTAGAAACCGGGCCTGTTTTTTGGCATTGAGAAAGGTGTTGCGACTTCAATCATCATTAATTATTAATTATAATTGAGTTAAAGTGACCCCAGTGTTACGATCGGCCACTGCGCCACCTCGCGGTGGCGTCCCTGTACCGTTTTCATAATCTGCCTGATTCACAGCAGATGATCGCCGAATTGTAAATATTTTGGAAACAGGGCTGAAGGAGAAATTTCCTCGCAAAAATTCCCGGAATATTCTCTTCACACACAAATGAAATCCATCCATTCATTTTTCACTCGAGGAAGAGTAAAATGTTTTTATCGCAAGCGGCAAACATCCATCGATGTAAAATATGTCTCTGTTTGGGACTGATCGGCACCGCCACGCGAGTCATTTTAAGTTTTTAGCCGGCACCTGCCGGACGATCGGGTGTCCGTGCGGAATGTTGATGGCACTTCATCGTCGCTTTGCCGCGCCATTCCCCTCCATTATACACCCCCTCCCCCTCGCCATTCATTCTGATATATGGATGGGTTTGGTGTGTTTTGCCCCCAAAGTTGGAGAATTTGTGATGACAAAAAAGTAGATTCAGTACTCACCATTGGCATAGAGCAGTTGCAGCCTGTACTGGATTCCATTATTCGTTTTTTGTCCCTCTGATTCCTGCAGAAGAAGATTCATGGATAAGTGAGTGATAATTAATTCAGTGGTCATTACAGATATGCTACGTTTCATATTAATTAAATGTGATGTGACGTTGTGACAACAGCACGCGCCATCTCATTCCTAATTATTAATTTCTTGATGTGCCGGTAAGAGCAGCGTCATTATTGTATCGTGGCGTGCAATGCATAATTATCTTGGGAGGCCCTCGCGTTGACGAGTTGTGCGTGCATTGTGTGCCATATGCCGATGGCTCGCAGTAATGCATTTTCAACTATTCCGCGCCCATGTACAGTTGTTCGAGTGTACCAGGGCTGTCAGCGATCATCAATTGGAAAATTGTTGGTCTAATTTTTTTTGTTGAGCTGAATTCGTGCGACTGCAGGAGAATTTTTAGCGATTTTGCGTTTGCGAATTATTTCAGGGATTTTAAGAGGTTGTGAAGGGAAATGTCTTTGCGCTCGTCTCGCTGGGGTGAACGCGTCATTTGTCCAAGATTTCTAGACAAGTGGGTGTGAAGGAGCGATGTTTCAAACTGGATCCACTGTTAGAACATTACTCTTGAAATTTAAGTGAAAAAGCTTGAAATTTTTAAGAACCATAAAGTTAGATGAAATTTCTATTTCTTCATTGACGAGTCAGTTAATTTCTTGAATATGCAAGCAATTCTTGATTTTCAGGGCCATTTGACATGAAAAATCTTGAAAATTTTGAAAATTCAGGCAACAATTTTTTCGAATTCTCAATCTATTGCAAATTGAATTGTATGTGACGTTCAATTTTCACGATGAGTTTTGAAATTAAAGCTTTCAGTGAAAAATAAATGATGGTTTAACATGAAAAATCCAGTTTTCTTGAATTTTCAAGATGACTGAGAAATTTGGTGAACATTTTCATTTGAAATTGAATTCAATTTTTAATTCAAAATTATTCAATTATTATTCACAATAATAATATTAATAATAATACATGAAAATTATACAATTATTCAATTGAATAATATCGCAAATTCAGATGACGCTGAGACTGAAATTTCAAGAAATTTCTAACAGTGTATCAGAAAGGAAAATTTTCAGAATTAGAATTCGATTGCATTAATCATGATGATTACTATTTTTTAATGAGTAATTATCCATGAACGTGGAGAGTCACATGTCCCTAGCCTCGTCTCGTGATTTGAATGGCAACGAGGGGCTATATCCCAATTAATTAGAATGCGAGCGGCCTATTTTGTAATAAACAGCATTAAAACGTCGCGAAGGAAAAAATTAGGGTTCAATTGGACGGTTCATTCCCATTTCCATTATATCTATTCTTTGCCAATATTTCAGTGAAATATCAAGATATGACTGTAATTTAGGCATTTCGATTGAATTTTTAACTACATGAAACCTCAGTCAAAGAATTTTTAATCCTATTTTGCTATTACAACGAAACATTTCAAAGTTGTAAGTTTCTTAACTTCTCTGTTAGAAAAATACTCCTGAAATTTAACGTAAATAATCTTGAAATTTTAAACAATTACTTATTCACACGAAATTTTCATAAATTTTGTTACTGAAAAATCCGTTTAATTCTGGAGTATTGCAATGGAATAGCAATTTTCAGATCCACATGATAATAAAAATTATTAAATAATTTGAAAATTCAAGTTACAATTGCCCTAAATTTTTAATCCACTGAAAATTTTGTTGGATGTGATCTTCAATTTCCGCAATGAATCTGAAAATTCTAGATGTCATTGAAATATCAGTGATAATCTCAAATTGACTTCAAGTTCACACCGTTGATAATTCAAGTGCAATTATTGCTTGATTTTCAAAAAATTTCAGACAGTGTTGTGGTTTACAAATCCACTCTGTCGTAGCACTAGTTGATGTCAACGGGATTTTGCTCTCTTATTTTTTAATAAATCAAGGTTCATTGCTGTCTATAAGTTTCCTCATCAACTTGATTAACTATTCCAATCAATCATTCATCAATAATATTTATTATTTAATCAATTATTGATTATGATTATTATATTTCACTCTTCAAAGATTTATGGGACTGTCAAAATGATTGAGATGATTCGTGTGAAAAGTGAAAAATGAAATCGGTTGAGTGTCATACACTTCACACATTTCCTCCCAAAATGTCTTAAACTATTTTCACATCATCATCCGTAATATCCAAAGCAAAAAAACCTGAGCATTCAAAAACTATAGCTTGCAATGATTTTCACGAGAGGGTGTTAAGGGAGGCTACGGTGGTGTCTGTGCTCGCCGGGGGTTGATGTATGTCCGCGGTGCATGACCCTAATTAATAGGGAGGCCACGCGATGCAACTGTCCGGCCCACGTGAATTATACACGCTCGCGCATATACGGAACATAGGTGGCGCTGAGGGTGGCTATGTGCTTCGTCCCTCCCCCCACCGCTCGCTCATCCCGGCTTACAAGCCTACCCCCAGGGCCAATTCACCGACACAAACCAGGTACCAAAACCGCGATGTAAACACTTGCACGTGGTGGGCTCTGTGTAATTAGTTAAGTAGGCTGACCTGTGAGGTAAATGGTATGGAATGAGGGGGAAGGGGGGGGGGGGTAGGAGCTGACGGGGTGAAGATCAACTTCAATAAGGGACAACCCATTTTGCCTCGGCTACTCATTTAAATGTTAGCGCCATAAGACATTTTTGGAGAATCATCAATTGATTTAAAAAAACATGAAGAAACAGATGAGAAATTGACGCATGTCTGACTGTCAGACTTTAAAGGACAAAAAGCAAAGCAAAAGGCTTAATTTGGGGTCTTAAATGTCTGAAACAGGTGATGAAATTGTCGTAGTTCGGGAGACTGGCTCGTTGGTGTTTTTACTGCGAGAACTCGTCTTAATTTAAGACAAATGTTTCTTAATGGGCGACTTCGTGATCACTAACACTGTGAATGTCTTAAAATAAGACATTTTCCCGACAAAAGTATAAGATGTTGTGTAAGTAAGACATTTATATGATGTCTTGAAATCCAAGTCACCAAATTTAAGGTATTTTTTTTGTCATAATTCAAAATATTTGAAGAGTATTCGGACACTAGTCATTTATGACATGGAATTTAAGACATAGAATCATAAGACATTTTTAGTGACTTATCCATTTTGACAAATATGGAGAAATGAATAGTCTTAAATCAAGGACAAGTGTCTTAATTTGTGATACCAATTATCTGCGATAACTCGTATTTTAAAGATGTCTTAAGTTAAGACATTAGAGACAGAAATGGGTCTTAATAACCGACTTCGTGATGACTAAACCATCGAATGTCTTAAAACATTTTATGATGTCTTAAAATATCAGGCACCAAATTTAAGACAGTGTTTAGTATTCAATCAATAGTCTTTTCGAACGGACGCCCAACGACAGGACATTAACCTCATTAAGACATGGCATGATAAGACATTTTTGGTGACTTATTAATTTGGAAAAACATGAAAAATTAAAAGAAACACCGATGCAGGTCTTATTGTCATAATTTGAGCCACTAATTCTCATTAATGTTTCCACTCCGACAACTCCTGTCTTGAAGAAGTCTTAATTTAAGACGTCAACCATAAAAATATGGTTTAATGGCCGACTTCGTGATGACTAAAACTTCGAATGTCTTAAAATAAGACATTTTTCCGTGTAATTACAAGATTGTATAGGCAAGACATTTTTATGGCTAAAAATACCAGTCATCAAATTTAGGACATTTTTTAATATTCAATCAATAGTCATTTATGACGGCCGTCCAACGACTGGACATTAATCCCATTAAGACATGGTATCATAAGACATTTTTGGCGACTTCTTAATTTGGAAAAACATGGTAAATTAAAAGAGACACCGATGTATGTCTTAATGTCTTAATTTAAGCAGTTGCGAAAGGCTTAAATTCGGAGCCTTAAATGTCTTAAACAGGTAACAAAATTGTCTTAATTTGTGACACTAATTCTCGTTAATGTTTCCACTCCGACAACTCCTGTCTTGAAGAAGTCTTAATTGAAGACATTTTTGGCGACTTCTTAATTTGGAAAAACATGGAAAATTAAAAAAGACACCGATGTATGTCTTGATGTCTTAATTTAAGCAGTTGCGAAAGGCTTAAATTCGGAGCCTTAAATGTCTTAAACAGGTAACAAAATTGTCTTAATTTGAGACACTAATGCTCGTTAATATTTCCACTCCGACAACTCCTGTCTTGAAGCAGTCTTACTTTAAGACGTTAACCACAAAAATACGTCTTAATGGTCAACGTCGTGATGATTTAAACTTCGAATGACTTAAAATAAGATATTTTTCCATCTAAAAACAAGTCGTTTGATAGACAAGACATTTTTTTAATATCTTAAAGTTCAGCTCACAAAATTTAAGACACTTTTTCGGTCACAATTTAATCAAAATTATTATCGCAAAGACGATTTGTTTTTCCACTGGAAGATAGAAATCCTGTGAGAATGTGCATGTCTCAATGTCTTAATTCCGATGCACTCACTTGAAACAATTATACCAGTTCAATTTTCATAGAATACCTCTTCAATCCACTAACCCAATTGCCGAGAATCAATCGATAAGCTCATAAAAACACACTTCAAATTACAATTCTCCCACCAACTTGAGCACGATGCCCAAATAATGACGACGATATGAGTGAGGCTACAATCTTTGATCGGTTAACTCAGGATAGAAGTATGAGGGTACGATCAGCGCTTTTCGACAAGAGGATTGCGTGACTCCGTCACGCAATCCTGTCATAGACATCCACCATTCCGAGTTTCAATATTATATTAAAGCATTTTACACTGTTGTGGGATCAGACATATGCGACGAGTCCCGAAAGAGTTTAATATTAGACGCGGACTATCAGATGGAAACGGTAATTATCGCGATGAAATATAGCCGTCTAGTGGCTAGACCAGTGAAGTTAGTCATCAAGCGATTGTTCGTTCAGACAAAAACTATCTTGTAATTAGTGATTTTTTAAGTGCTCTCCAATTTCTTTCTCTGCCTGCTGCAAAGATCAAATCAAATAAATTTATGCTGAATATCAAGGAAAATACACTGATAGAATGATTCATTTATTCCAAACGAGATTCGTTAACTATTAACGAATGGTAGAGTTGAATACGACCAAATGAATATTCGTTAATAGTTAACGAATGGTTCACTTGAATGACGAAAGTCAAGTCAAACAAGGCTCCTCAAATGTACATTCGTTAACTATTAACGAATGAACATTTGGTGAGACCGAATAGACTCTAACCTCCAACCAAAATCCATTCATTAACAGCAACTAATCCGTTCTATCAGTGTACGTAAGAAAACTTATCTAGAATGTTTAGCGTATGCGAGTTAAGCCTTCAAGGTTTAAGAATGCTTAATAAAAAAAGCGATTGGTCGATAAAGAGCACCTCCTCACCTGGTCTTTTTCTACGAATCCAATGAACGCTGTCCTCTCGATTTCGATGGGCTGGCCACCCCTGTCGTACAGAGCTATGACGAAGTGGAAGAAATTACTTTTCCTCAAATTGCTAGGTGGTTGCTTCTCGAAATGCGCCCTTCCGACACCGACCCTGTAACATATTATAATAGTGTTAGTGCTGGTGGGAGGAGGGGGTGCGGGGAAAAAAGGGCAAGCGTAGGATAAGTGAGTGGTCTAGTAGGAGGAAAGGCAAGAACGGAGGAAAGACAAACGAGGTCGAGGCGTCGGGACGGCGCTCAGGTGGCCTCGACGCCTTAAAATCCCATTAAGGCCTCATGTGCTGAGATTAGGGACACTGGACTCCACTGGTATCTTTGAGTAATGGCGCGGTGTCCCTCCTCGGAACCCTATATGTTTGGGGTGAAAAAACTGGACTCCTTTGTGATTTGGTGGAGGGAATGACGGTAGGTACAAGATGGGGAGCAAGGCTCTAGGAATAATATATTGTGGGTGGTAGTTGTTGGCCGTCACATGTCTTACAGGGACGCTATGGACAACTGGGTACGGGGACGCCACCGCTAGGTGGCGCCGCTAGGGGGTAAGCGCTGCGCGACTGGGGGACACCATTACTTCCAGGATAGAATTTCAATTACTTGAATGACTTCAATCAAAAGGAACACGCAACATGATTTCATGATTATGCTTCTGACTTAGAATTACTTCATCAATTTGGAATTAATGATTTCAGACATGATTCTAAGGGCATTTTCGAGAGGTGCAATGACTTGATTTCAGGGATTTCGATGGATTCAATGGTTCCGCATGATTTCGAAGTGATTTTATCACAGAGCGAGACTTGCAGAAGTCTCAACTTGAGACGTAAAAATCTTCGTTTGATCCTTCTGAAAGTCTCAAGTTGAGATTTCCGAAAACCCCAATTTGAGACTTGAAAATCTCAATTTTAGCTTTCGGAAATTCTTAACTTGAATTTCGAATCTCAATTTGAGACATTCAAAAGTCCCAACTTGAGACTATCAGAGGGTTTAAAGTAAGATTTTCAAGCCTTAACTTTAAACATTCAAAAGTCTTACGGAAATTCAAATTGCGTGAGAAAAATGAAAAAAAAATCATGAATATTCAGTATCATTCAAATTGCATTTTGCATAGAATTATTCTTTTTTAAATATTCTTGGTTTATAAATAATTAATTGAAATTGTTTAAACTTTCAGAAACCTTATTGTTTTAAGCATGAAATCGATTCCTGGTAAAATTCTGATTATGAATAAATTTGTTACGATTCCGAACAAATGGTTTTATGGCGGAAGTTGATTGTTTATAAATCATTTATAGAAAATATTCGTAACTTTCAAAAATAGCAATTTTTAAATTACTGCATCGATCTTCCTCCAAAAGTAAACTTTCTAATGTTTTCTCAGATTTTAAAAACGTTTTCTAACGATTCAATATCGTGATTCAATATCAGATCAAAATAGCCAGAGCACTTGGATATCCTTAAATTGAAACTTTCGAAAGCCTCAATTTAAGACTTCCATAAAATTAAATTTGAGATCGTCAATCTCAAATTAAAATTTGTTTTTTTAGGGTGTTATCATCATTCACACTCATTTGATTATGATTCTCCATTCACAGTTCTATATTCCAAAAATATGATCCATTGATCATCAGCGAATTGGCGAGCTTCTGAAGACGCGAGTGCGGGGACGCCACCGCGAGGTGGCGGAATAGCCAATCGCAGCGACTAAATACCCTCCCCTCATTCCGGAACCGCTTACTATTCGCTAAAAAAACTCAGCGAATACATCCAGCCTCCAACTCCCGAAGATAAAATCCCTTGGGAAAACGTCATCGTTGGAGTCCCGAGAAATATCCTACGCGTCAGGCACGAACAGCGGGCGTTCCACGAATCGTGAAGGAAACAATGGCAAAAGCACGAAGAGTTGATAGACGAACGGAAAAGCAAGTTTCCTGGCATCATAATCGAGAAACAATTTGGCGACAATTTTTCAAGCTGTCAAAATACTCTCGACTGAAGCGAAGTCTCCGGGGAGCATTTGGTCAGTGGTTTCGACGTCTTACTTTTCTTGATTCGCTTCCCTGCTCCCGCAAATATTTTTTATCGCCTTATATATTTATTTTTCCGAGCAAGAGAAGTCCGGGGGAATATATTTTCAATTTTTACGACAGCCAGCAAAAATCTGAGACAATGGCACCGGAAGAACTGTGAAGGGAGTATAAAAATTAAATGATCTCACTGGTGCAAACTCTTGCCAGCAATTTGGTTTCAATTTCCGGAGTTAACCAAAAGTGTCTGGTTACGAGGCGATAAAGAACAACGACCCTTTTTCCTTTTTCGGTCGTGTTTCTCCAACGAGAGTAGATCCGTCGCAATTTTCGTCGCGCCTTTTTTCCGCAATTAAGCTCAAGATCGCTTGAATATTTAACGTCTCACCGACACCCAGTACCAACTCCCGTCGTTTCGGCGTTACAAAACTTTTCAAACTTCGGGAGTGAAACTTCTTGGCGAGAAAAAAATTATGAGAAGTTGGTGTCACGGTGTTATGAGGAAAAATATGACGATGGAAAATGTTTATTGTGTGGGATTTTTATTTTATTTTGACTTTTTATGTGAGGGACTATTCACTCATGTGATATTTGACACAAAAATGCATCCATTAAATAAGACGTTTTTTAGTTTAAAACAACATGTTTGAGAGACAGACATTTTCGTGCTGTCTCACGGAAAAAATATGCTTGATTCGAGGATGATTATTTCGTATCAGCCCGGGTTGTATCAAGCGCTCTCAAGTGTAATATAAGGGTCAGACACTAAGTGTGAGAATATAAGGGTCAAAAAGCGGAGGTTAAAAAATGAGGGTCGGAATATTAGAGTCAAAAACTGAGGGCCTGAATGTAGAGGTGAAGGAATGAGGGTCAGAATGTTAGGGTTAAAAGAAGAGGGTCAGAATATTAGGATCAAAAAATTAGGGTCAGAATATAAAAGTTAAAAAAGTGGGTGTCAGGCAATGAGGGTCATACAAGGGCTAAAAACGCTGATCAAGCATAATATATGACTTATATTTAGACCCTCATTGCCTGACACCCACTTTTTTTACTTTTATATTCTGACCCTAATGTTTTGACTCTAATATTCTGACCCTCATTTTTTAACCTCCATTTTTTGACCCTTATACACTGAGAGAAAAAATTATTCCTGCCAAGGATTGATATTCTCGTCAGAAGATCATATTTTTTCAGAACGAATTTTTCCAGGACAGTCATTTTCAGAGAGTCCAAGTCTATCCTCAAAAATTACAGTGATATTGAACAATCTGATTATTATGCTACATATGACCTTGACAAAATGTTCTCCGATATCTTCCGGATTTTACAAATTGGCGATTTTCTCAGGTAAAGAAAATTGGAATAATTCCAAATGTTAATAATTATTATTGGAGTTTCTTCGAGGTCATATGCAGAAGAATATTCTTATAGATCACCATAATTCTCACGCTTGGAACTGATTTCGGAGCACCTGGAAATGACTGGCCTGGAGAAATACGTTCCAAAAGAGATATTTTCTTCTACTAAGAGTATGAAAAAGATATCAGCAATAACATTTTCTTGGAAGGAATAAATTTTTTTCTCAGTGTATTCTGACACTTTATTGCCTGACCCTTATATTACACTTAACAGGGCTTGCCACAACCCGGACTGATACAAAAGAATCATCTTTGAATTGAAATACCCATCCCCCAATTGATTCAGGTATAGTTAATTTCTTTGTCAATTTCTCTAATGGTTAATTTCCCAAAATTAACTATTACCATTATTTGACTTTCCAAAAACACTCCCAACAGCCGTACGAATCCAAACATTTTGATTGAAGAAGTCCCAAATAATTTCGTCTTAAGCTCTTCATCATTACAGTATTTATTCTGCACAAAAATTTTTACAAAAACGAAATTAAAACAAAACAGCCATAGTATTATTGAATCTATTTTACAGTGCAATTGTTGAAGGTTTTATTTCGGCGAATTTCCCACAAAATCTAAATAAATAAATAAAAAATTAAACAATGACCAAAATAAGAATACCTACACGTCCATGAGATATAAAGAACCAGCAGAGTTCCGTCAATAAAATACTTCAATTCTGTGACTCAACTCCAACTGCTACCCTTCTTTGGTACTTTTTCTCCGCGCAATTCAAAATTATCAACCGTAACCTCCCATTTTCAGTATTGCATTCAATTTGAGCTTCATAACGCCAGAGCATAGGAATTACATTATGGCAGATACGAGTGGATGCCAACGGGGGGAGGGGGGGGGGGGGAGCAGGGGG